TCTCTTTCTCTCTCTCTCTCCCTCCCTCCTTCCCTCCCTCCCTCCCTTCCCCCTCCCCTTCTCTCCACAGCAGCCCCCTCCTCCTCCTTCTTCCCTACCCCTCCCCCCTCTCCCGCAACCACCGCCACCCCTCCAAAAACTGTGGCTCAGGCGGCCTTTAAAACTAGCGGGTTGAACCAGGCGGATTTCTAAAGAGTTCTAAATCCAATCCTCCATCCAAAGGGGGCTTCTGGGAGGTGGAATTTTCCTCCCAAGACACCCCCCCCCATATGTTTCTCCCACCACCATCTCTAAACAGAATCAGTGTTTGCTCCGACCTCCCGTGTCCGTTTCAGAAACCCAGGGCAGAGTGCATAGATACTGAGTGTCCTTCAGACCACAGTTGATTTGGAGAATTGAGTTTGAGGTCTGGGGAAGGGGGGAGGGGGGGAGTAAGAGTGTTGTGTTTTTGTTTCCCCCCCTTTTCCCCCCACTATCCCAATGTGTCTCTGCGAATAATGATGAGACTCAGACAGCACTATAAATCCCCTCATTTTCTGTCCTGGAAAGCCTTTGCAAAGAGCGATGGGGAGCAAGGGTGGGAAGAAAAGGCCGAAAGAAAGATGGCTGTAATTGTAATATCCTGCCATTTGCAGAGCCCCCAAGTCTGTGCATTGAGCCAGGCTCACAGGATTGCCGCCGTCTCTCCGCAGGAACCAGCAAATCTGATCAAGTTCAGAGGCGCATTGAGAGACGCTTCAAGCAGCGCTTTATAACCGCGGATCTTTCACACCCTGCTTCCCAATCAGCCCCGAGAAAGACTGCACATTCTCTATTTTAGAGTTTGCAAAGGGGGGGGAGAGAGGAAAAAACCCCCACCGGTATAAAGTCTTTCCCACCAGTAACCCCATCTCCCATCAAACCAATCACAATTCACCCTCCGCATCTCTACAGAGCACTCACAAAGTTGGAAGGTGAGTCGCCGCTTCCTTAAATATATTACCTCTAAAAAGTCTCGCTGATGAAAGTAGACTTCGGGGTGGTCAGGGATGGATAGGGGAGACCAACTTCATTTCTGAGGGGGTTTGCACCAAAGAACAAATATAGCTAAATCATGCAAATGAATCCCCCAGAGTCTGAGTTACAAAAAGAGCGGATTTCTTTCCTTTTTTTCTCATTTCTTTTCTTACCTTCCCTCTCTTTCTATTCATTCTTTCTTTCTTCCCTTCCCTCCCCCCACTCTACCCCCAATCCCTACTCTTGGATCTCTGTTCTTGTTGGGGAAAGTACAGTTCCTAGGGGTTAACCTAGGTGGTAGTGGGGAGAGGGAAGGTTTGAGCTTCTTTGGGGGCCCATCCCGTCTGGGTGGAGATGGGGACAACCAATTCAGTAACCTCCTCGGATGTGTTTCTGATGGTCCATTTCCAATCTCCCTGGGATCCAGGAATCATCTACCCTGGGGGAGCTTGAGAGGGAGGGGCTGTGAAGGGGGAAGGATGTAAAAGAGAGAGAAAAACTAACAAGGGTCGGCCAAGTTTGCCCAGCTTCTCTTCGTCTGTTGGGGGGGGGGGGGGGGGACTGGTTAAGCTGTCAGGCCTTTAACTTACCTGGCCTGCGATGTCCTACTCCGGATGACAACAATCGGAGAATTAATTACCTTTAGCACGTGTGCTCTTGTCTCGGGACAAAAAGGCATAATTCAATTAGGTCCTCAACTGAGAATTGGGGGGGGGGGGTAGGGTAAATGGCTGTGAAGTTGTTTGGGCAAAAGAACTTTGATGCCTACAAGTTCTCCTGGGCAGCTCAGCTCCTGGTCTGAAGCTCGGAGGGGGGCGCTATTGGAAATTGAAGGAGGGGGTGCAGAGTCAAAACCAGAGGGTGGACTGTGGAATCTAGGGACTGAAGGGTAGTGAGATTGGGTGCCCCGTTGCTTCCTTTGGCCCAGCTGCTCTGAGAAATCAGAGACTGAAAGCTAGCCAGATGTATGGAAGCTATAGGCTGTTTTTAAAAAAACAAATGAAAACCCCTTCCCCGCAAGCTAACCATGTTTTTGCAGAGAAGTTGAACTTTGGGTGGGATGATCTCCAAAGCCCCTTCCTTCTCTAAGACCTTATTTTTCTATGGCAGTGTTCTCTCTCCACCCCCACTTCTATCCCCAGCTCCAGCTGCCGAGTTTGATGAAGGGGAGGGGGCACACCCTTCAAGCAAGGCGACAAGGTACTAGAGGAGACACAGCCAAGCAGTGCTTGGAAATACTGAAGAAAGCCAGGCCCTGTCTCCAGTGTTGGGGAGTCTCTCGTCTTGGAAAGACTGAAAAGGCACTTTGCAGGAGGCATCCTCATTTTTCGGGTCCATCGTGGGGCTCCCTGGGCAACCCTGGTGTATGGGCTTTACATGTGTGCTGGGCAGCATAAATTAAGACAGAAATCACTCTAATTCACTTCCCACTCCTCTGTGGGCTGGCCTCAACTCATGTATATGTATATTTGTGCTATGTGTGAATTTGGAAGCATAGGAAATACTCTGTATTTGTGCTCATAAGAAATAGATGCTGTGTGTGTGCTTGTATACAATGGAAATAGACTGGCATCCTCTCCCTTACCCCAAGTTCAAACCCCAAGTAGAAACCAGATTTATTTTATCTCTGTATCTGGGCATTTGGATATACAGCCAGAAACTCTGGGCTGTCAGACAGGCACGTCTGGAAACCAATTCCTACCCGCCGCACCCCCCCCTCCCAGTTCATCTTCCAAAACGCAGGAAGGGGGAGAGCTGGGAGGAAATTTAGGGAATTGATGTAATCTGTTAGCATTGTGTATTCAGGCAAGACAGGGCAGGTGGGGAAACTGGCCACGAAGCTCTTATTTTTGCCTCTTCTAAGGCTACTAGGTCATTTTGGGGAGTGGGAGGAGTCTTTTCTCACGTACTATCTCCAGTGGGCTCCAGTAAGGGAGAAGGCAGAGTAGTGCCTGGCCTCATAGCAGGCACAAGGCAGGGGACTTCTGGTCTGTGTTCATTTCAGAACTGGTTGGCCAGCCCACACTCACAAACATTTTTTAAAAGACCCTTTAAAAATCCAACGAGCGGATTTCCGTCCTGCCCATGGCTTCCTAATTTCTTGTGCAGTAAATGAAATGAGGGAAAGCTGGAAGGGTATGATCCCAAAGAATTGACCCTGGAGGGCCCTTGGGCTCCGGTCTCTCCCTTTCCTGGGTCCTACTGGATGTCTCCACATTTCCCTATCTCCAGATTCCTGACCTTCACCGAGTCCCAAAGAGAAGCTGCAAGCTCCAATAATGAGGGAGAGGGAGGAATGCTTTGAAACTTGGTTCTTCTGCTTAGAGATTGCTCTTAATTGACTTAGATGGAGGGGAAGGGGGTCAAGCTTAAATATTGATCTCCCATCTCCTCCGGAAGTTTTGAAAGGTAATAGCTGAG